GTCTTTGCACTTGACCACTTATATGATGTATTTCCTGTATTTGGCCCAAGTGTTCAAGTGAGCATGAATGCCACAAGTGTGTGTTGAACTTTTCATTACCTGATGGGACACACTTACGTATAGTGTTGTAAAAATGCAAGTGTTTAGATAGCGTTATTTTTATTTTAAATACTTTGCATTTTAAAATCAACTTCTAAATGTCTGTTCAATAGTCCCTATAACATGACACAATTTAATTTGTGGTGCTTCTAATTAAGTGATAAAAAGCAGTTGCAAATGTTTACAAAATAAATATCACCACTACTCATCTTTACACCAATACATGTGCAACACTTTGTTTTTCTACCAAATTATATGTAATATCTATTTATTATATTAATATCTAACTTACACTGGAAAGGTTTCCGTTACCTCTCGCACGATCTCGGCAAAAAGTCTCATGATTTATTTCCAGAACATGATGCATGATGGGATACACTAAGCCTCGAATAGCGCTCCGGAGCGGTATTCGAGATAGTGTGGATTTAGTGTACGTTAAGGGCACTGTGCTTTGGCGTTTTTAAGACTTGGGACAGTCTTGCGCACTTACTTCCTGTCGCGCGCATGCACTCTCAAGTGACCAAGACCGCAAGTGCAGGTATTTGGACAAGGCATTTGAATTGGAACAGTACTTGGGCAACGACTGATGATGTTTCACAAGTCCACAAGAACACAAGTACAGACAAGAACAGATATTGAGGAACAGCTACTGTCTATAGGAAGGCATCTTTGAAGGCAGCTTAATGTTGGAATGGCCTTCATGCCGAGAGCACAACAATGCTGGATTAAAGTGCTGACTATGTAGGCAGCTCACTAGGCTTTGGAACAGAACCAGTAGATCTAGTACTCTGTTTATTATCAGTATAAACGTGATACTTTTTAAACAGTGATATTGGAAAGATTAGATTAAACTAGATAACTACATGATAAGAGGACCAAACACGTCTCATAACCCACTTTTCCAACCGAGTGTCATCAGTTTCTCCCTCCAGATGCTTGGAGCTGATGGCTCATGTCAGGCTAAGCTGGAGATACAGTGATCATGAGGAAAGTGATGTAATGACTCAACTCAAGACCGACCTCATTAGTATTTTCTAGAAGCAGTTACAGTTGTACTATGGCAAGGACTTTTTGCTTTCCAGTCTTTGCCGTCGACATTTAGATATTATAAATTGTGTAATTTCATCAATAAAAATATAATTGGCTTGGCCTATAACATACAAGGTTGTTTTGTGGATAACTGTTTGGTGGTTTTATAGCATTTTTCTCGTTCATTTTTAAATTGTTAGTTCATGTGTTTATGTCTTTGTTTACTCAATCAGGTGTCCCTTATTGTCACTTATTGCCCTTATTATACTGTTATATTTAAAAATAAATTGAGTATAAAATAAAAATACAGTTATTTTATAGTACACTTAAAAATACAATGCTAATTAGGGTTGGACCGATAGACGATGCCATCGTCCATCGCCGATGGCTGATAGACATCACGATGTTAAGCCGGCATCGTGAATACCCCCCCGCAATCCGCCGCATCCCAATACCGTGTTCGGAAAGAAAATGACGTGTATACGGAACCCCTAAAGGGAATAAATACGAGATGGGAGGAAAATATATATTTCAATATTTTCCCTCGCAGTTATATCATTGGGTAATTATACACATATATTTCGGGCATCAGGGAGCCGCTATTATACCTGGCATTGAAACTGCTTTTGAATGCACGATGGCTTTTTAGTTTCACTTTCACTTGAGATTCGCGATCGCACATATGGAGCAGCAGTACTTACCACACATTTTACAAGATTAGATGTTTGTCAGTGGTGCACAGGATCTGCAAATCATTCGCCATCGTC